TCAGATATGATAATTTTCCTAACCTTGTAAACTTATCACTAACTAGGAGTAAAAAAATAGTCATATAGGTTGACACAGAGGGGATTACTGTTAAGCCCAAGTAGGGCTTCAGGGTCCTTCAGTTGCAAATGAGATACTTCAATGGCCCTGAATCTGATTTTGGGTGCATGGCATTGTGTTTTCTTCTTCAAAGTAAGGGTCGCTAAAACGGCCCAAGTTATGGTCTGCTCAAAAATCTGTATCTGCTCCTCGGTTGCTCATTAGGATGCTACATAGTTTTAAAAGGTTCGAGTTTTCAGATGAGATTCTCATTGATAGTAAGAGAAGTAGATCTTAGAAATAATAATAAGTATATGCTATGCACCATCCTTTTAAAAATAATTATTTACTCTTTTAATAAACTTTTTTTAAATTTTAGAAAAGTTGTAAATTTATAAAAAAGAGACAAAGATCATTTAGATGGCTGCTGTATACCCTGCACCTAACTTTCCTATTGTTACATGTCACAACAAATAAATCAATAACACTTGAAATGGAATGACCATTTGACCCAGTTATCCCACTCCTGGGTTTTTACATAAAGGAATTAAAATCAGCATACTACAATGACACAGCCATATCGTTGTTTATAGCAGCTCAATTCATAATAGCTAAACTATGGAACCAATCTAGGTGCCCTTCAACAGATGAATGGATAAAGAAATTGTGGTATATACACATAAAGGAATAATACTCAGCCTTAAAGAAGAATAAAAATCATGGCATTTGCTGATAAATGGACGGAACTAGAGAATATTATGCTAAGCAGAATAAGCCAATTCTAAAGAATCAAAGGCTCAATGTTTTCTTTGATATGTGGATGCTATTAATAATGATGGGCAGGGGAGGTTAAGGGAAGTACTTTGGATTAAACAGAGGGTAGTGAAGTGAGGGGAGGGGTCATGGGGTTAGGAATGATAGTAAAATGAATCGGACATTATTACCCTATGTGCGTATATGAGTAAATCACCTGTGTAACTCTACATCATGTACAACCAGAGAATGAGAAGTTATACTCCATTTATGTATGAGGTGTCAAAATGCATTCTACTGTCATGTATAACTAATTAGAACAAATAAAAAATTTTAAAGTCAATAATTATACTTTATTAGCTAAAATCAATACATCATTAAAATTTAATTAATTTTTATGTTCTTTATCCATTCCATCATCCCTTCCAGGATCCTGCATTACCTTTACTTTTTATACCCCTTGACTGTGACAGTTTCTTAAATTTCCCTTGTTTTTGGTGACAGTGACATTTGTGAGGAATATTTACCAATATTTTGTAGAATTTCCCTCTGTTGGAGTTTGTCCTATTTTTCTCATGATGGCTGGTGTTATGGATTTCTGGGAGGAAGACCACAGAGGCACAGTGCCATGTGCTCCGGCCTATCAAGGGTACAGAGTATCAGTGTGACACCACTTCTGAGGTTGATCTGGACCACCTGGCTGCAGGAATGCAAAGTCACACACATACTGCAAAGTCACATACATACTCCACCCCCACCCTTAAAAGGTGTGGGTTAGGCTCCATATCCTTAAGGGGTTAGGATCGACATCAATTACTTGGAATTCTCCTGCATTAAAGATTTATCTATTTTCTTCTATTGATCTATACATTCAATAACTTATTCATATCACGATGGGACCATGCATGAGTTATTTATTTATTTGCTAAAATTTTTCTGGCATTTACCGTTAAGATTCAGTCAGTTCCCGTATTCCTTTGTCACTCACCATGATTGCAGGGTGGTTTCTGTCTGCTTGTTTTTATTCTTTACTTTCTGACACCAGAAGACACTCCTGGCTCACAATATCCATTTCTCATCCGGTGCCATTTCTCCAATGAACTCAGTTTCCTTCCATCAGAGAATATTCAAAACCAAGATCTGAGTGCTAGCCCAGTGTGCACGTTGCTACGGAGATATCATTGCTTCTAAACCCTCTCAGTTACAGAGTAAGAAAATATGAATATTACTGACCCATTCTCATATACATATGTGTAGATATTTTTATATGAAACCATCCACATCTATGTTAAGCATAAGTTCACATCAACATTTCTGACTCTCTACTCTCATCCCTTGCCATGTGAAACATTCTGCCCTCTCTGCTTGTCTAAGGCCACTTACCCTGACTGTATGGAATGTTTTCAACTCCATAGGTACATAATTGCTGGATCATATGAGATTATGTTGAGTTTTATAAAAAAAACACTGCCAAACCATCTTCCAAAGTGTTTTTATTATTTTCATTCCCACCTGTAATGAACTGGAGTGCTTGTTGCTCTACATTGCCACCAAAAATTTGTACTTGTTTTCCTTAAATGAATTTTAACCATTTTAACATGTATGCAGTAGTATTTGACTATTGTTTTAATTTTTATTTCTCTAATTATATGTTGTTGAATATTTTCTCCATTTTTTTTTTTTGCCATCTGCCTATCTTCTTGGTTTAAATGTATAGTTCTTTTGTCCACTTTTAACTGGGTTGTTCATTTACTTATTACTGAATTTCGAGAGTTTTTTTGTATAGTTTGAACACAAGTCATTCATCAGACAGGTGTTTTAAAAATATTTTCTTCTGATCGGTGGCTTGATCTGTTATTTTATTGACAGTGTTTTTCACAAAAAATATTTTAGTGTCAAAAATGTTGGGGCTGGGATTGTGGCTCAGTGGTAGAGTGCTCACCTAGCAAAAGCGGGACCAAGGTTCGATTCTCAGCACCACATAAAAATAAAGGCATTGTGTTGTGTCCATCTAAAAATAAATAAATAAATAAAAAATTAAAAACGATTCTCTCTCTCTCTCTCTTTTTGAAAAAAAATGTTTAGCTTACTAGATTTTTTTCTCTCATGAATCATTTTGCAGTCTCCTTAGTTTCTACTCCGTGTATTTTGAAGCTGTTTTACTAGGTCCATAAATATTTAGGGCTGTCATGTTCTCTTGATGAATTGATTGCCTTAAAACTTCTTTTATCATTTCTCATAGTATAAATATCCTGGTGATGAGTTCACTTGCTTTCGTCCATCTTAAAAAAGCCTTTATTTCTTCTTCATCTTTACATTTTTTTTCATGAGCACAGAATTCTATGTTGACATATTTTTGTTGCTGTTTCAATATTTTAAAGTTGTTAATCCAATGTCATCTTACTTGTACCTGCTTCCAGCTAGAAATCTGACCATATTTTGGCCCTCAGTAAAACATCTCTCTCTCTATTTCTCTGATGCTTTAAATGTTTTTCTCTTTATCACTGGTTTTAAACAATTTGGTGATAATATTCCTTGATGTAGTTTATGATTTTTTTAGTTGAAGTTTGTTGTGTTTTTTTAAATTTATATGTAAGTTTATAGTTTTTATTATATCTGGAAAAATTTCAATTTATTTCTTTAGATGTTTATTTCTATCCCGATCCTCTTCTCTTGGAAATCCAGTCATGCAGAGATTAGCTTTTTAAAATTGTCTCGTAGTTCAATGACACTCTGTTTTTTATTTTAAAACTGTTTTTTTTTTCCTCTTGTTTTGGGTCATTTCTATTTCTAATTTCAGTTCATTAATATTTTCTTTAGCAATGCCTATTCTGCCATTAATTCCATCTGATATATGGGTGGAATATTACATATATAATATGTATAGCATACCTATTATATATGCAAATATAATGTATATTATATATATATATATAAATTAAACATAAAATGTATGATAGAAAATATGTTACCTCAGGTATTATAGCTATCATTTCTAAAGATTTAATTTGGGTATTTTTTCTTTTTGCATCTTCTATATCCAAACTGACAATCGGTATAATATTACAATATGCTGGACAAGGACATTAAAATAGTTTAAATGGCTGAATTTCATATGTTCAAAAAGGAGAGTAAATTAGCCCCTGTAAGTTGATGGCAAGCAGGAGTCACACAAGGACTGTTCCGATGGCTTTCCCTCCTTGGTATTATTTATTCTATCCAACAATGTTCTGAAACAGGAATTGTTGTTATGACCAGCTTTTACAAGAGAAAACTGATGTCCAGCCAGACTAAGTAATTTACCCTGGACATGTAACTAAAAAGTAGACAAATCAGTATTTCTGTGACATATAATTTAAGAGCCTGCCATCTTCGTGACCATTTTTGATATCCTAGATCGATTTCCACAGGGACATCTTATAACTGTTTTCATTACTGTCTTTTAAAAAATAGCTCAATGTTATTCCCTAAATTTGGGAGGAAATGAACTTGGTTTCTGACATTTCCAATGTCATGCTAAAAATGGGTATTTCATTGATACAGCAGATGTGCCTTTCATGAAAGGGCTTTAGGACACTTGCACATAGAAATTTGCAATAGCCAATTATGGGAAGCTTGACTTTCTTCATCTTCAAATTCAAGATAATCAGCACCTTATATTTAGGTGAATACAGGAAGAAATTATCTGGGAACTCCGGTTAAAAAGCAAACGCCTCCCATATCATGGATCAAGAGGTTCACATACGGAGAAGAGAAAAAGAAGTCTTTTCTTTTCTTTTTGAGGGACAGTTACTTAAAATGAACTCTGAACAATGAGAGGAGTGGCCCTAATGGGAATGCTTCCACAAAGGGAAGAACCTGGTAGAAGACTAAAGTTACAAACAGAAAGCAGAAAGGAGTCAGCAAGGCAAAAAGGGAACAGGTGGGTGTGCAGGGACTGCCACACAGGAGAGACAGGCTGGGCATGGCTTGACCTTTATTCTAGGGATTTTGTGTGTGTGTGTGTGTGTGTGTGTGTGTGTGTGTGTGTGTGTGGTGTGCTGGGGATTGAACCCAAGGCGTCTCACCTGCCAGGCAAGCGCTCTGTCACAGAGCTATCTCCCAGCCCTGGGTTGTCAGTCTCACACCATTGTGAGGTGATGGAAACTGAGGGGCATTTTGCAATCTGTGGCCTTTAAGTTCAATGATATATGGCATATGTAGTGCCAGATGCTTTGCCTACATCTCCTTATTGAACCATGTAATCAATCATAGTGGTAAAAGAGATCAGGGTCAGGGACGGTACAAGATACAACCAGGACATCTGAACATCTCATCACTCAAGAAATCATGAACATTCCCAGCGTGTCCAGGAGTTGTGTCTAAAGGATCCAGGAGCCAACCCGAGGAGGCTGAAGATAGAATCATGTATGGATCATTATGAATAATAGCTGTAGTAGTCTGAACCCATCATACATTCAAATCTCGTTCAGGAACCTTTCCATAGTCTGAGACACCTAGCAAATTGAACTTTTTCCTTTCCATCTGCTTTCCCCAACTTATCCCAAGGAACCCCAAAGGCAGGGGCTATTTCTGTCTTATCAATCATTGGATTCCACATAGACACTTCATAAATATTAGTTGAATAATAAGTGAACAGAGAACAAAGATATTATGTGTACTGGAATGGTTACACTAAAAGGAAAGGGTTTGGGGCTTTTACTGTGTTTTAAAAGCAGATAACTCTTTGATAATAAGAAAAAAAAACTAGCCTTTCTCTGGAGAAAAATTCACCCCACATTTTTAATACAGGCACAACAATTTTTATACAATTAAGAGATTGAGAATTCATTGTAATCTGTTTATATCATGGATCCATAATCTATATTTTCAGAAACTATGATTTTAATATATGGTGGGAACTTCATATCTGATTATATGAATATATCACAATTATATTTTTTAAAATTACATAAGGAGAAATGATGTTTGGAGCTGAATTACTTAGGGTATGATTAGAAACTATACTATAAAATATTACACTTTACTTTATGTAATCCATAGATAGCTTTTATCACATTTTGATGGATTTTGTTTTAATTTGATTTAAAACCCAATTGTGCAATGCCTTTATTTTTTGGTAATGCATTTTATTATAGCTAAACTTAAAATTAGAAATTTGAATGATTTGAATGATTATCCAGAAACCTTGAGCAAGTACAGTTTCAGTGAGTTTTTTTTTTTTAAAGCTACATAATGATCCCATTTTATATACATTCCTATCCAATTCTTCAATGCACACTTAGGAAAAACAGTGTGGTATGATCCAATAAGTAAATACATACTCATTCAGTCAACATACACCCCATTCCCTTCCCTTACATCTTGCTCAGCTTTTTTTTTTCCTTTTCTTTTGCATCTTATAGCCTATTGCTTAATTTTGATCTTGAAATTCTAGCTATGCATGACAGCTGAGGTTTTCCATGTGCATAAATGAAAGTGCATTTCATTGCTAGGTTTGTACTCATAGAACATTATCTACATACGAGTTGCTGTTAGCTGTTATGGAAATGACATCATAGAGAAGGTACTTTCATTCACATCCCAAAGAGTCAAACTAAGATTATATAAAGTCCAGTGGCCCTTTAGGTGTCTATACAATACTCCAGCAGCTGGGGCCATTTGGGTCTACATTTCATTCACATCAAAGGCACATGAGAGAAAAACACAATTTCGTTCTCTGGAGTAGATAGCTGTCTTTTGATAAGTGCACGTGTGATGTGTCCTGAGCCTTCTCCCTGGGCTTGTGCCCTCGACCTGTCTAAGGATTACTTGGTGAGGATTTCAATGTAGTGTTATATGAGGAAAAAAATGTGGCTTAGCTAGGATTTCAATGTGGATTTACATGAGAAAAATACACTGGAACATTATGAAAAACAATCAAAACTATCTAAGAAGGTTGTAATTTTCTCCTCATCAAAGTCTTTTGTAAGTGTGTGGCGGTGGTGGTGCTTACTCTAGGCAACAAAGTTGCTCTAACTGGGAGGGATGTATTATGTAACAGTAGACCTTGATCTGTCAATTGTTCAGTTCGCCTTTGCTTGTTTCTCTGTTCTGGGGTCCACATACAAATCTTCCCAGGAAAATATACACCCAAGATTCTATTGAGCTGAAGGATAAAACTTTGAAATAGTATCTATCCAGATAGTGACTCTCAGTTGCTCCTTTTCCTTGGAGAAGAGACTAAATTAAAGTTGATTTTGTCATTAGGGTTCAGGATGCATGTCTACATCAAGTGTCTAGCAACAAGACATTTGTTTAGATGACTATTTTCTTGTTCTTCTGCCTAACAATGGGTCAGATTCTGGAGAGTATTTGAGCTGGCAGACACATCTTTGATTAAGTTGAGGATATCCACAAATTGGTGGTGACCCCTTGGCTGACGTTAGCCCCCGGCATGAAGATCTTATTGCCACATCAAACATGCGATGACCCAGCTGGCTTTCATCATTTGAATAGTGTTCTTTTGACACCCAACAAGACAAATTTCAGCCAGAAAGCAATCAGTAGTTTTTTTTTTTTTTTAACAACAACAAAAGGCAAAAAAGAGAACATCCCATTGTTTTACTAACTGCTATAAATCAGAAACATTCAGTGTCATGAGCAGGATATACAAAAAAATACACAATGATGCCAGTCTGGCTCCCCACCGGACGGTCTCTCATCACTGCAATATGGAAGATGGCCCTGGGCAACCTCATGACCTCACACTTACTTAGATTTCTTGGGAACAGAATGTTTCATTTGTAAATGTGAAAATGATGATGAGGTTATTTAAGACGTGAAAGGGAGTCAGGCAGGAGTTTTGAAAAATGGAAAGGAAGGAAATGATTACAAAGAACAGGTAAAAAACGAACAGATTTTTGTTTACTTCCTGTTCCACATCCAGCTGTGGGAGATAACTGTACAATGTCACTCCTTTCAAAACGGGGGCGACTCAGACTGGAAGCCAGGTGCAATATGTGGCAGGGACTGGGTGCACACAGGTAGCTTTGTTTCATTGTATCTTGTTCTTTCCTAGCATCTGTGACATTTATATTTGCAGCTCTTTGTGATAGTTTTATTCTTTTTTCTTTTTTTCTTTTCTTAAACAATAGACGTAAATGTGTGGGTGAGACAACTTGGGACCCTTGGTAGGTGCTCTACTGAAATTCAGATGAGGTTTGTTGTCACCTGCGGAAGTGACACCCAGTGTTAGGCTCCTGAATTATTTCCTAACTCCTCTGATTTCCATCACAGTCATCCTATCACGCCCACCTGGGGCACCTCTCACCAGCTTCCTGAGGTCCTCTTGGCAGGTGAAGTAGGTTTCCATCTTCTGTGTGTCCTGGATTTGATTGGACTCAGGAGTTTATTTTCCTTCCTTTCTTACCACCTCCTCCTCCTTCATTGCAGCCTCTCAAAGACAAACTTTGGATGTGATTAATGGTGGCAGAGATTAGGCACATAAAGTTCAAGCACTGAGTTGTTTATTTGTTTAAGAGAGCTGTTTTCAGACTGTTTCTTTCTGCAGTCGCATGCCCAACTGAAGAGCCTTAGATCTGTTGCTGGCTGAAAAGAGTCAGTCTGTGGGAAAAATGAGGGTGAAATATGAGAGTGAAACTTTTTTAAATAGAGTGGCCCTCCATATCCTTAAGGTCAAATATATATATTTTTAAATGTGCATTCATACTGAATGTGAACATTTTCCTTGTCACTATTCCCCAAACAACTCAATGGATCAGGTATTTACATAACATTTACATTGTATTGGGCATTGTAAGAAATCTAGAGATGATGTGAAGTGTATGTGCCTAGATCATATGCAAATACTACCTCATTTCATACAAAGGATTTGAGCATCTGTGGATTTTGGTATTCTCAAGAGGTCCTGCAACCAATCCCCCATAGATACTGAGTGATGACTATGCTATGGTTTGTATGGTGAATGTACCCCAAAGGCCCATGTGCTAAGTCAAATGGGTGGTATTATTGGGAGCGGGTGAATTTCTTAACAGAAGGTGCCCAATGGCTGGTCTTTAGGCCATTGTGGACATGCCCCTCAAGGGAATTTTGAGACCCTATCCCCTTTCTCTTTCTCTTTTTCTTCTTGGCCACCAAGTAAGTAGTTTTGCTCTGCCACATGTTCCCACTATGATGTGCTGCTCACCACAGTCCCAGAACAATGAGGTCAATTGATCATGGACCAGAATCTCCAATACTGTAAGCCAAATTAAGTCATCTCCCTTTATAAGTTACTTATCTCAGGTATTTTCTTATAGTGACAGAATGATGATACACACTTTACAGGGAGGAAGATATGATTTTTTTTTGTCTGGCTTTATTTATTTATTGGGTAACACGGATTGAATTTAGGGCTACTCAACCACTGAGCCACATCCCCAGCTTGTATTTTTCATTTAGAGACAGGGTCTTGCTGAGTTGCTTAGTGCCTCACCAATGCTGAGCCTGGCTTTGAATTCATGATCCTCCTGTCTCAGTCTCCTGAGCAGCTGGGGTTACAGGCAGGCATCACCACAACCAGCTGAAGATGCATTTTCAATGAGGTTTGTCCATTTCAGCATGCTTCTCAGAGGCTGAAATCTGACCACTGAATTGAAACATGTCATTGAATCAACAGAGGGAGCCTAATGAGCTAAAAGTCCAGTGGAAATGTTTTCATTCTGTGCTAATTATATTACCAGATGTATTTAGAAAGGGGGGCGGGGGGCGATAGCACTCAGGGTTCACAAATTTTCTGTTTTAATGGACACTTCATCCCCCAGATTAGAATTGTGTTAGACCTAATATAATTCCACAGAGAGATCTCAGATCTGTGGGTCCCAGAATTAACAGGAGAGAACAGGACTCTTCCTCCAGGAGTGACTCAGCAAATTCTGCCTGCTTTCTGGTGGACTCTGACACTGGGTCAGGGGTAGGTTGAGGATGGGGAGGGCTGACTACCAGTAAGGCACATCAGATTTTATTCTGGGTGTGAGAACTTTATGCTGGAGGAAGAAACACACATCGTTTATGTTATTGGAAGGCCAAGAGGTTCATAGGCATGTGCTTTAGTTTGAATCTGAAGTGTTCCCCCAAAGACCCTAAAGGCTTGGTTCCCAGCCTGTATCACTACTAGGAGGTAGTGGAATCTTTAGGAGGTGGGGCTTGGCGGGAGGAAGCTAGGTCATTGGGGGTGTGCCCTTGGAGGGGATGTTGATATGATTCCACAGCCCCTCTTTTCTCTCATTTTTATCTCCCAGCGCCCATGAGGTGAACATCTCCCTTTACCCTCTGTTCCCACCATGATGCTCTACCTCACCACAGTCCCTGAAGCAACAGGCCACCAGTGATCATGGACCAAAACCTTCAAAACTGTGAACCAAACA